TTGTTTATTAGCACTGTAGTGTCCAGGAAGTGGATCTCTTGTGTGGACTGGACCAGGCTGAGGGTCCAGATGATGAAGATGTCATCAATATAGCGGAAGTAGAGTAGGGGCTTTAGGGGACGAGAGCTGAGGAAGCGTTGTTCTAAATCAGCCATAAAAATGTTGGCATACTGTGGGGCCATGCGGGTACCCATAGCAGTGCCGCTGATCTGAAGGTATACATTGTCCCCAAATGTAAAATAGTTATGGGTAAGGACAAAGTCAGAAAGTTCAGCCACCAGGTTAGCCGTGACATTATCGGGGATACTGTTCTTGACGGCTTGTAGTCCATCTTTGTGTGGAATGTTGGTGTAGAGGGCTTCTACATCCATAGTGGCCAGGATGGTGTTATCAGGAAGATCACCGATGGATTGAAGTTTCCTCAGGAAGTCAGTGGTGTCTCGCAGGTAGCTGGGAGTGCTGGTAGTGTAGGGCCTGAGGAGGGAGTCTACATAGCCCTTGAGGAATTCCACCATGATTTCAAAAACTTCCATCCCACCATCAACCTCAGCCTGGTCCAGTCCACACAAGAGATCCATTTCCTGGACACTACAGTGCTAATAAACAATGGTCACATAAACACCACCCTATACCAGAAACCTACTGACCGCTATTCCTACCTACATGCCTCCAGCTTTCACCCTCACCACACCACACGATCCATCGTCTACAGCCAAGCTTTGCGATACAACCGCATTTGCTCCAACCCCTCAGACAGAGACAAACACCTACAAGATCTCTGTTAAGCTTTCTTACAACTACAATACCCACCTGCGGAAGTAAAGAAACAGATTGATAGAGCCAGAAGAGTTCCCAGAAGTTACCTACTACAGGACAGGCCTAACAAAGAAAATAACAGAACGCCACTAGCCGTCATCTTCAGCCCCCAACTAAAACCCCTCCAACGCATTATTAAGGATCTACAACTTATCCTAAAGGATGACCCAACACTCTCACAAATCTTGGGAGACAGGCCAGTCCTTGCCTATAGACAGCCCCGCAACCTGAAGCAAATACTCACCAACAACCACATACCACACAACAGAACCACTAACTCAGGAACTTATCCTTGCAACAAAGCCCGTTGCCAACTGTGCCCACATATCTATTCAGGGGACACCATCACAGGGCCTAATAACATCAGCCACACTATCAGAGCTGTTCACCTGCACATCCACCAATGTGATATATCCATCATGTGACAATGCCCCTCTCCATTTACATTGGTCAAACTGGACATCTCTACGTAAAAGAATAAATGGACACAAATCAGATGTCAAGAATTATAACATTCATAAACCAGTCGGAGAACACTTCAATCTCTCTGGTCACAATCACAGACATGAAGGTCGCTATCTTAAAACAAAAAAACTTCAAATCCAGACTCCAGCGAGAAACTGCTGAATTGGAATTCATTTGCAAATTGGATACTATTAATTTAGGCTTAAATAGAGACTGGGAGTGGCTAAGTCATTATGCAAGGTAGCCTATTTCCCCTTGTTTTTCCTAACCCCCCCCCGCCCCCAGATGTTCTGGTTAAACTTGGATTTAAACTTGGAGAGTGGTCACTTTGGATGAGCTATTACCACAGGATGTGAGTTTGTGTGTGTGTGTTTTGGAGGGGGGTGAGAGAACCTGGATTTGTGCAGGAAATGGCCCACCTTGATTATCATGCACATTGTGTAGAGAGTTGTCACTTTGGATGGGCTATTACCAGCAGGAGAGTGAGTTTGTGTTTGGGGGGGTGGAGGGTGAGAAAACCTGGATTTGTGCTGGAAATGGCCCAACTTGATGATCACTTTAGATAAGCTATTACCAGCAGGACAGTGGGGTGGGAGGAGATATTGTTTTATGATCTCTGTATGTATATAAAGTCTGCTGCAGTTTCCACGGTATGCATCCGATGAAGTGAGCTGTAGCTCACGAAAGCTCATGCTCAAATAAATTGGTTAGTCTCTAAGGTGCCACAAGTACTCCTTTTCTTTTTGCGAATAAAGACTAACACGGCTGTTACTCTAGCACCAAGAAGTAACTTTCAGTCCAGCACGGCTTTTGCACATGGTGATATCTCAGAAACCTCGGCACTATTGGTGAAGTGGAGTTTGCAAAAGCACTGCCAAGGGTTTAGATTTAAACTGTTCTTACAATAGTTCCAATGGGATATGGAAATACTATGGTAATTTAAGGTACTAACATCTTCTCCTGTTAAACGTCAGATTGTTCAGACCACATACCCCGGGAGAGAAGACAGCAGCTAACCTTGGTAAACAGAGAGCCTTAGAGGGATTTAATTGAAATGTAAAGTTCTTAATATTTATTAATTTGCCTGCCTCCACACTGCTCCTTGAATTGGTTCTTTTATTATCTTTGTCCAATTTCATAGGACTTAGTTCAGGTCACTCACCTCTGCCTATTTATCGACTGTTTAGATTATCCATGATAAACCAAGAAGGATTCACTGAGCCTTAGACAAAATCCTTGTGCCCATCTCTGAGTCAGGACTCATTGCTGAGTTGGGGAATAATGCACTCTGGTCCTAACTTACACAGAGGAGAGCATCCCGCAGACAAGACCCACTCTTCAAGGTGTAATCTCTGAGGACAGCTCTCTGAGAGAGACACAAGAGGAATGTATACCTGAAGAAACCATTGTTTTCTGATTGCGTATGTTCTGTCTGGGTTGATGTTTGTTTACCTTTTTCTTTCTTTCCTTTCCTTAGTTACAGGAGTTTGGCAATTAATCCTTGGGAGTATATTGTTTGTCTTTCATCACGCAGTGCCTCCCCTAAGGCCTGCGAAGAACCCCATGTGACTACAGTAGAGGGCATCACATCCTTGAATGGGCATTGAGATATCCAATTGAGATATTCAATTGGCCCCAACCATTTCATGTTTATCTGCACTCTACATTTTTAGTATTTTAGGAGATAAAATTACGTGGTGCTCAAGACCTTACAACACCCCATCTTCCCCCACCCCCATCACCCCACTGGAATTCGGCTGCTGGCTGCTTTCTAACCACCCCTCTCGGGAGTAGGATGCTTGTGGCCAGTCCCTGCCCCAAAGCTGGATCCCCAGTTACTCCTCTCCCTCCGCTCTCTCTCCCAGTCATGGGCTGCACTCCCTGAAGAGTGAACCCTGGTATAAGGTAGCAGAGGTGCGAGGGCTGAGCCCCTCCCCTGAGTATAGGAGACAAATTGAGTCACCTAGATTCCCACAAAGAATGCAGGGTTTGAAACCTTTGCAAACTAGCCCTGCTTGCTCTAAGCCAAAGGGTGGGTGGGTCTGGGTGGGAGGTATGGCTCTAGGAGAATCCAGGATCCCCTGCCTGTGCTGGTGAGTACCAGGGAAGCCTCCCCTCCCTTCCGCTGATGGGACTGCAACCAGCTAGCAAGCAGCTGGTCAGATCAGCGTGGGCTGCAGACAGTGCAGTGCTGACAGCTCTGGGGCTTATGGCCAAGGTGCCAGGAAATGGGCACTGGAAGTGAGGCCCTCTGAACTAAATGAGTCCATTCTGGTGGCTGGCTGAGTGGGGCTCCACTGAGTGTGTTTCATAGAATCATAGAAGAGTAGGGTTGGAAGAGACCTCAGGAGGTCATCTAGTCCAACCCCCCTGCTCAAAGCAGGACCATCCCCAACTAAATCATCCCAGCCAGGGCTTTGTCAAGCCAGGCCTTAAAAACCTCTAAGGATGAAGATTCCACCACCTCCCAAGGTAACCCATTCCAGTGCTCCACCACCCTCCTAGTAAAATAGTTTTTTCCTAATATCCAACCTAGACCTCCCCCACTGCAACGTGAGACCATTGCTCCTTGTTCTGTCATCTGCCACCACTGAGACTAGCCTAGCTCCATCCTCTTGGGAACCCCCCTTCAGGTAGTGGAAGGCTGCTATCAAATCCCCCCTCACTCTTCTTTTCTGCAGACTAAATAAGCCCAGTTCCCTCAGCCTCTCCTCATAAATCATGTGCCCCAGCCCCCTAATCATTTTTGTTGCCCTTCACTGGACTCTCTTCAGTTTGTTCACATCCTTTCTGTATTGGTGAGCCCAAAACTGGACGCAATACTCTAGGTATGGCCTCACCAGTGCGGAATAGAGGGGAATAATCACTTCCCTTGATCTGCTGGTAATGCTCCTACTAATGCAGCCCAATATGCCGTTAGCCTTCTTGGCAGCAACGGCACACTGCTGACTCATATCCAGCTTCTCATCCACTGTATCCCCAGGTCCTTTTCTGCAGAACAGAGGCTTTGTCACCAGGAGATGGGCTGTTGCGCAGCGGTGTTCGCTGAGCCATGAGCCTGTCCCGGGCTTTGCCAACAGGGCACACACCTTCGCTCTCAAGCTGCTATACGGCTCCTTGGCGGGCTGGCATGTTATCTGAGCTGGGCTAAGGCCTTTCCCCCATGCAGGTGTAAGGTCAACAGACCTCGGTTTGTGGCGGCTGGGATCAAACCTGGGCCCTCTGGAGCTTAATGTGTGAACCTCTACTGCATGAGCCATAAGACACATGTCTCTTAGCCATGGCTGAAGCAGGTTCATCAATCCCTAGCTGGTCTAGGTGCCACTAGAGGAAGACAGAGCGCCACACCCAGCAGGCCTGGATTACCCCGGGTGCGTACTGTGTGGGGATTGTACCTAACCAGCCTCCTTCCTGCACCCCTTGTGGGCTCCGCTCCTTCCCCCTGTGGGGGTCTGCCCTGCACCTGGGGCAGCAGCTGCAGCTGAGCTGGTTCTCTGCAGGGGGCAGAGCCACATCAGCTGTAGCTCGGGGCTGGGAAGGCGCTCATGGTGAGAGGGGCACCAGCCACTGCCCTGGAGCCTGCCAGTCATGCCTGAGCTGAGAAGGGCCTGTCAGGCCAGAGCATGGGAGATGCTGAGCTCCTTTCTCAGCCGGAAATGCCTCCCCCTCCCGGCTGCTTGGGCAAACCTCCAGGGCAGGCCCAGCTGAGGGAACAGTACCTGCAGGCACAGCACTCTTCTGGCTCCCGGGGCTCCCAGGCACGCTGCTCGGCCGTTCCCACGTGGTTTCTGTTCAAAGAGAACAGCACAGTGAGTGCATCGGGGCCCTACAAGCACGGCACAGTGCCACGTGCCACAGTCACAGAATGAATGGGTCACCCACCGCCCTGCCTCGGCCCCACACTGCCAGCTCCTGGCCAGTGCAGTGCCACCCACTGCCCGATGCTTCCCCCCACCCTCCCACAGAGATCCCACCCCACCTTCCATCTGTGCAGCTCTCCTCACCGGCTAACCTGCCTCCCCCATCCTGCCCGCTTCATTAGCCATTTTTCCCTTCATCACAGGGTGTGCCAGCTACTACGGAGCAGCGAGAAAGAACACATTTGCATAAAAACAAGCCGTGGCTAATGTGCTGCTCTCACCAAAGTGCGCCTAGCTTTAGCAAAGCATTCAATTAGCCTCCACAGACTTCTTTTCCTCACCTGCAGATTACAGGGATCTCAGCCCAAGAAGCCCCAGACATGCTCAACTGAGACGTAACGACATTGAGTTGGTATGCAACAGAATGTAGTAAGAAGAGCATGGAATGGATTTATATCTAAAATTCTCTGGAAATTTTATTTAGTGACATTTTTTACTCCATTTGTGTGCTTAAACAGCGACATCTAGCAACTTTTCAGGATTTGTCTGGTGACTTCCTGCTATGTGGAGTTGGCAACATGGAATTACTGTACGGAGAGGAGCCCTAGCCAGGGTCTCTGTCCTGCCCCTCTCTGACAGTGATTACAAGGAGCCAGGACTGTGACTGGTGGCTGTGGCTTCACAGCAGCCATGGTCCCTTGTCTTCATGAGTGTTTGCTAGGTGAGTGGCTTGATTGTGGGATTCAGCAAACTCTGACTGCTGAGGGTCCGTGCAGGAGGAGCCTGGGAAGACGGCAGCAAAACTCCAGGCAGGGGATGTGGCCGTGGCACAAAGGCCTTTTAGCAGCAGCTCCCTCCTAGGACGGTGGGTCACATGAACAATACAGTGAGGCTGTGCAGCCATTGTGGGGGGTGGAATCCCCAAGCCCAGGAGCCCCTCCAGACTGCATGGATTTAGGTGCGGAAATGGCCCAAGAGAAGCAGCGGCTGCCACCCAGAGTCGGAGGTCAGGAGTGCATTGCTGGTACAACTGTACTGCTATATTGTACAGGTCAAGTACTACTAGTGTGGACACAGCCGGGCTGGCAAAGCTGTGCTCTGCACCGGGGTACTTGACTCCAGCCCCCCTGAGTGAAATAAGCTGTATGGATCAGTGTTGTCTGTCGAACAGCATCTACACTTGTGGCTTTTGTTGGCACAGCTCTATCGGTTACAGATCACACCCTTGACCATCCAACCCCCCCCTGCTCCCTGTCCCCTGACTGCCCCCCGGTCCCTATCCACCCCCCCACCCCCCAACAGGCCCCTCGGGACTCCCACGCCCTATCCAACCCGCCCTGTTCCCCGACCCCTGACTGCCCCAGAACCTCTGCCCCATCCAAGCGTTCCCTGTCCCCTGACTGCCCCCCAGGACCTCCTACCCAACCCCCACTCCACTGCCGTGCATGCCACCACCGCCCCCTTACCATGCCGCTCAAAGCGGCAGGAGCTCACAGCCCTGCTGCTCACATGGCAGCGTGACTGCAGGGGAGGGGAGACAGCAGGGAGGGGCCAGGGGCAAGCCTCCTCGGCCAGGAGCTCAAGGGCCAGGCAGGATGGTCCCGCGGGCCGGATGTGGCCTGGGGGCTGTAGTTTGCCCCCTCTGCTATAAAGACACATGCAAGCGAGATATGAAGGAATTTGGAATTGATCCTGACCACCTGCCTGCGGTGTGGGGGGCCCGAGCGCAGCCCCTGGCCCATTATAGCCTGCTAATATAACTGTAGAAATTGATTCGGGGAGCTAGGACCATGCCCTGTTGACAATAAACCCGATCAAGTGCCTTCATACCCCTGGTCCATTATAACTATCTCAACCTTTTCCTTTCTGAGGCCTGCTCACAACACGCTATAAAAACTCCACGTTCCACCTGTGCCACAACAACTGTTTTTCTGCAAATAAACACCAGGGCCAGTGTTCGAGGGTAGCAAACAGGGCAGTTTCCTGGGACCCCATGCCACAGGGGGCCCCCATGAAGCTACATTGCTCAGGCTTCAGCTTCAACCCTGAGTGACGGGGTTCAGGGCCCAGGGCTTCAGACCCATACGGTGGGGCTTCGGCTTTCCACCCTGGACCCCAGTGAGTCTAACGCTGGCCCTGCTTGGCGGACCCCCAAAGCCTGCTCGTGGCTCCCCAGGGTCCCCGGACCCCTGGTTAAAAACCACTGGGCTATAACATTATCCATTTGGCAAATCTCATTTGGTAGATTTCAGCTTTAAAATCGAACTGGCAATTCTGGCAAATTCATAAAATTAAATCCCTTTCACACTGACAGATATAAATGCACAGCTTCAGCTTGGGAGGTCTGGCTGGGAAAGTGCCCAGAATAACCTGCAGGGAACGCCATTCACCCATCTAGGTCTGAGACAAACCTGTCTAGATCTGAGCCAGTGGCTTCAGGGAGAGTAAATCTCACAAACCAGATGATAAGGTCACTCTCCTACCCCGTCCTTTCTGGTGCCCACAATTCAAGAAGGATGCTGATAAATTGGAGCAGACTCAAAGAAGATGGGAATGATTAGAAGATTAGAAAACCTGCCTTAGAGACATAGATTCAAGGAGTTCAATGTATTTAGCTTAACAAAGAGAAGGTTAAGGGGTGATTTTATTACAGTCTGTAAGTATCTACATGGGGAACAAATAGTTACTAATGGGCTTTTCAATCTAGCAGAGAAAGGTCTAAATGAGCCAATGGCTGGAAGTTGAATATAGAAATAAGGCACACATTTTTAACAGGGACTGGAGCCATTTGCCAAGGGTTGTGCTGCAGTCTCCATCACTGGCAATTCTGGATGCTTTTTAAAAGAGCTGCTCTAGGGGGTTTTGGAGCAGTCTCATGGCCTGTGCTGTGCAGGCGGGCAGGCTAGATGATCACAATGGTCCCTTCTGGCCTTAAAATGTATGAATTTCCCAGCAGGCCCTGCTCTGCCAATAGTATTCCCTTCCCTTCCCTCTCCACTTGTCCACTGGAGGACACACACACAAACCCCATGCCCACTGACTCTCCCACTGATGAGGAAGGCATCAGGCTTTGGGCAGAGACAGGGATACTTATTCTCTGTGGTACAGTCTCTGCAAGTCTCTTACCATAACTGTATTGAGATTTCTTTCTTTCTGTAGCTCAGTCTTGCTCAGCTTTGCCTTATGTGAGCTGAATACCTCACTTGTGCCCCATGGACTGGGCATGGGCAATGTGAGACTCTCAAAGGCTCATCACTTGATCAAATTCATTTCTCCAGGACGAGCAAAGGCATGGCTTACATGGTTGGCTTCAGGGAGCTAAAATCAACAAAGGGGGTGGATTTACATCAAGGAGTATTTCAGGCAGGACTTCACGGAGGGTTCCAATAAGAAATGGTGCACCTAAGTTATTGTTCTTATTGGAACAAGGAGGTGAGTCTGGCCTCTGATTGATACATGGCTAGATTTACCTCGCTGCACCTTCTCTGTGAGTGACTGCAGTGTGACCTAGAAGAATGAGTCCCCTAGACAGGGGGGTGGGGAAGCAAATGAGTACAAAACAAATCTGGTCTATTTCTTGTTTTGATCCACTCCATCTATCTTTTACATCTTTGGCTGGCAGCAGATGGTGCAGAAGGACTGCATGCCATCCACATCTCATGACTGCTCGGCAGAAGATGGTGCAATATGACTGCTAGCAATCCGTATCGTCTGCCTGCTCACCATAAGACGGTTCAATAGGACTGACTGCAGGACTAAAGAGAATGACCTGGTCAAGTCACTCCAAATTTAGTCCCTGCGCCCATGTCTGTCCAGGTGCTCCTGGCCGACGTGGCCAGGAGCACCTCGGACATGACGATGATGGCTACCAGTCATATTGCACAGTCTGCTGCCAGAAGGCAATAGGTTGCTGCTACTGTGTAGCAATGCAGTACCGTGTCTGCCAGCACCCAGGAGACATACGGTTACAGTTACCGGAGCGGGCTCCATGCTTGCAGTGGTATGGCGTCTGCACAAGTAACTCAGGAAAAAAGGCGCAAAACGATTGTCTGCTTTTGCTTTCACGGAGGGAGGGAGGGAACGGGGGCCTGATGATATGTACCCAGAACCACCCGCGACAATATTTTAGCCTCATCAGGCATTGGCATCTCAACCCAGAATTCCAATGGGCAGCGGAGACTGCGGGAACTGTGGGATAGCTACCCACAGTGCAACACTCCGGAAGTCGACGCTTGCCTCGATACTATGGAAGCACTCCGCCGAGTTAATGCACTTAGAGCATTTTCTGTGGGGACACACACACTCGAATATATAAAACCGATTCCTAAAAAAACGACTTCTATAAATTCGACCTTATTCCGTAGTGCAGACATACCCTAAAAGAGCTGCTCTAGGGGGTTTTGGAGCAGTCTCATGGCCTGTGCTGTGCAGGCGGGCAGGCTAGATGATCACAATGGTCCCTTCTGGCCTTAAAATGTATGAATTTCCCAGCAGGCCCTGCTCTGCCAATAGTATTCCCTTCCCTTCCCTCTCCACTTGTCCACTGGAGGACACACACACACACAAACACCCCATGCCCACTGACTCTCCCACTGATGAGGAGGGCATCAGGCTTTGGGCAGAGACAGGGATACTTATTCTCTGTGGTACAGTCTCTGCAAGTCTCTTACCATGACTGTATTGAGATTTCTTTCTTTCTGTAGCTCAGTCTTGCTCAGCTTTGCCTTATGTGAGCTGAATGCCTCACTTGTGCCCCATGGACTGGGCATGGGCAATGTGAGACGCTCAAAGGCTCATCACTTGATCAAATTCATTTCTCAAGGATGAGCAAAGGCACTTTTCCTTACTGAAGGCTATTTCTGTGGCAAATTTCACCTTTCTCCCCTAAGCTCTTTTTGTCAGAGAGCTATTTTAAAAAACGTTCTGAT